GCCACCACCGGTCGCCCAGCCCACGACCCCGACGTCCTAAATTTCCTGTTAGGGATTCTGCCTTAAACCTGTGAGAGATTTCCGTTCTTACCATGTTTGTTCCGCCGACAGCCGTAGCATTGTGTTGAGCAAGTGCAGCAAAAAGTTCCCCGTCCTGCACACCGGCCCCGAGAGTAGCAGCCACCATGGTCAGATTCGCAGTTTGTGCGGACGACCCGACCTCACTGCTTCGGTGAGGCTGGAAGTGCTCGTGAAACTCGATCTTCTTCAAGTGATGAGTCCAGATGCTTTACCATCTATTAGCAAAGATTGTAGCATGTATTAGAAATTGAATTAGATCAACTTACGACAAACTCCCATGATTAATACTGCGTTCAGACCCATGGCCCGTATTCTTGATATTCAATCGCAGGTTCCACTCCTTCGCAAAATGCAACCCAGCCTGGATATGACTGGCATCGGTGGCATTGATAACATAGACTGGGTAGTTGCCAATACTGCAGCCTTGCTGCTCCGCATGCACATTTCCCGTGATGCTAGTTCCATCAGGATAGATCGGATTGCAGCTGTTGTTGGACCAGATTGGGTCATCGACGCTGACTGGGTCTGAGGAATGAAATTTCGATGTAGTCCAGTTGCCCAAGACGGACGTACAAGCAGCTGGGTTATAGTTGGGCTCGTTAGGATAGCAGACAGATGCTGCTGGCACCGTTCGGATAAGTCTTCCGGATACGGTTTGGTTAAGAGAGGCCCATTCATCTGCAGATGGCCAGCATGGGTCGGAGGGGGACTGCAGGGGTAACGAATGTCAAAGTACCAGTCAGTAAATTACTGTAAAGTAGAATTGGGATGTAGTTTAAACGTTCGTCTGAGAACTCACGCATTTGCAGTCTAGGGCGCTGGTTATGCCGCTGACTGCTAGAATAAGCGTTGCGAAAAGGCTGGTACCACAATACATGATATGATATATACCCTGTTCTTGAGCCAATGGCAGTACTTGTTAGGGACCTTTATAGAGGTCGTATGAGGGTTTATATAGTAGTCCTCCAGCCCTATGATCAGGCTGCGGAGTATAACTACAATAGTACATACCCTTCGTTCGTTCAGTTTGCCTGATCAAGTAACAAATATACGAAAACGAGCGGTCGGAAACAAGTGGGGCAGCACTGAGTCTGGGGTCTCAAGGGTCCAGAAACTCTCACTCTTTTGCATTAAGATATTGGAACGAGTACGACTGAAGATCTAGGTCGGTATAGCCTTGAAGTGGAGGTTGAAGGCTCCAGGCTGCAGCCTTAAATCCAGTCTCAGTTCCCCGAATCCACATGTAAGGGTTCTCAGTGATATCTTTAGACCACTTCCTGTTTATAGCCATGGACTCCATTTTCCCTTTCTCTTTTACTTATCCTCTCTGGGGGTGAAGCACTACTCACTGCTAGGCAAAAGAGTTCTTGTGACATATGGGAGTTTACTATGAGCACATGATACAATGATAAATCTGTTGAAACAAGGTCAGAATCGAAGTTGTACAATGCTTGACTTCTTGCTATTTGAAGGCAACCAAGAGATGAGATCAAGATTTCCTATATCCATAGAGGCATATGATTTCGCCTACCAGTCAAGTACTGAGATATCAAAACTAGTAGTGTTTCCTCCAGAACACAGAGAAAGATAAAAAAAGAATAGTCAAAGATCAATAACAGCAGTAACTCATTCTTCAGCCGATGAATGGAGACAAACAAAGCAAAAAAAGGACCGAACGCGGTTCGAACGCGTGACCTCGGGATCTGCAATCCTACGCTCTACCACTGAGCTACCGATCCAAGTTGGGGAACACGTCAAAATTACGTACTATAACCTACAATACCATATTTTTATCTGGTTGTACATCAATACACTGGGAATATGATGGTAGTACAGAGTTTGGCTTGGGATGTTTGATGTTTTTCTCTACGACTCAGTTTTTTATATTGATTGATTAAGGACACGAAGGCACGTAAGTTCATTTGTCTACGAATCACTATTAACCCTGTTGTAACGTTTGGCTGATGTGCTCTTCGTCACTGCAAGCGATGGCTATACAGAAAATGCTAGTGCGCAAAGCGGAAATCCAACCTCTTACTTCCTGTGTCCGTTGTATTCTGCAGATAATCCTGCCGTTCCTATGTGGCAAGTTAGCTAATCATTCTGCTAATTCCCAGAGAATAACACCTACCTCTTCGGTCATTGCGTTCCACACGCGCTCCCTGTGTTTGTTTCTATAAATATAGTATATCTTCGTGCCAATAAAGAGCAATATAGCCAGAATATTAATCCCTATGAGAGCAGAATTTCCGCGATGGTATTTGGGTTTATCGTCCGCCCGGTAGATGTTGTTCCCGATGATGGCGCCGAGTTGCACGCACACTGTTGTCATAACTTTATTAGCAAGCACACTTTGTAGTGTGATAAGATAGAAGAGGTTAGCTCACTGTTATAGAGTGCTGCTGATATTGTCCGTGTTCCCACGTTGTTAGAGTTCTTCGAGCACCACCCCACCAGGATAGCGTGGCAGTATGGATAGCAGAGTAGCACGGTCACGGTAGCATACGTCCCCCATGCGTTGGTCATTGTACCAGGCCAAAAGCGGAGGGCAATAACACAGGGTAATGTCCATATCGATTGGATCATTGACACCAAGGAGCGCTCTTTAAGCCAGTCGCTGAGACGGGTGAGCAATAATAGACAGATGATGTGGCCGACGCTGTAGGGGATGGTGAGAAGGTTCGTGGTGAACTATTTAAAGTTGATGTTAGCATGCTATACTGGACTTATAGAAGGTACACGCTTACGGTGCCGAACCCCACACCCTTGAGGATCAGGGTTATGTAGGACGTCATTGGTGTCTGCGGAATATAAACTACTAGGCCAAGGAGGTAGATCGGCCATATGTCATAGTCTCGGAGGGAGTTCCAAAGGCGACGCGGAGTTATGGCTTGCCGGTTGTGCATGTCTCCTAAGGAATGTGAGAATGATTGTCAAATGTTCAAAGCAATGGTAACGCAAACGTACCCTTAGAGGGGTCATCGCGCAGAACCCGGTTGACCACGATGCTGACTTCACGGTCTGTGAACCAGCCCTTCGGGCGGAACCATTTCTTGGTGTCGACAGCAGAGGCAGGCATGCGAAAGAAGGAGCTTAGACCAATAAGAAGAGTGATGAGACCTTCGATTAGAAAAAGCCACCTGCAGATTCTGTTAGACCTGTAAAGGAAAGGAAAACATGGCACGTACCTCCAGCCAGCCATGCCCTGTACACCACGCATGTGGAGGATCCCGAATGCGAGAAACGAAGTAATAATAGTAGTTAAAGATAGTGCAGTCCAAAAAATACTATGATCGTCAGTAATGGGCTGAGATAGGGTAGACAAAAAATTACCTCAAGCGGGTTGGAAGCTCTCGGCTTGTGTAAAAGTAGGATAACCAGAGGACAATGTCGGGAATGAAACCACCCTATAGATTTCAGAATAAAGCACCATGAATTCAGTTCATTTTAATTACCTCGAGTATTCCCAACAATGCTCTCGTTGCATAGAAAGATTTCTTTCCGGCTAAAGCAGCCTGTGCAGCAGCAACGATTGACCATATGGTCATCTGCGTGGGAATCCAGCGATCGGGGCCAATCTGCTTGGACACCAGTTGTGATGGCAGCTCGGCTAGAAGGAAGGCGACAAGAAAGATGGTGTTTCCAGTATTGTAGTCTGCACACATCAGAGACTTAATAAGCCGAAGAAGCGATGCGCTCACCATTCGTGGTGAGACCAAGATCATCCAGCAAATTGTCCGACACAGCTTGTACAAGGTTTCCTCGGTCAACCTGAAGACCGAAGAACATCACGCACTATCGTCTGTGGTGAGCATATTTCAAAGCAAACCAGGATCACCTTAACATACAGCCCATAGACACACCCTCCAGTCCAACTTCCGGACGAGCGCTTTCTCCTCTTCAGCTGTCCACGTAAGTGTAGGGTCAAAGACATGTCGACACTCATACTGCGCTTTCTCATAAATGAGAGCATAGCGCTCCGCAACCTCAGGGTCTGCGAAGGGATTATTATCAAGGGTCGCATCGGTTGGATCTTCATACGGGCGTGTATGAACCTGGGCTTTGTCTTTTGGAGAGGGAAGGTCTTGGGAAGAGTCTGAGTAGTGCCGCTGATCGAATTGATCGGCAGTCTCTTGACTGACATCCTTTCGAGATGCCATGTTGCCAGTAGTAGACAGAAATCTGCATACTCCCAAATTATTTCTCGTCGTAGGCCGCGATCGGAAGCTTTAAAGGATGCAAGCTGCGAGCTCGCAGTCAACAGCCCAAGGCACGCCATTTCCAAGATATCTCGCGACGAGAGATAACGGAGCATCAATGCAAGGACCTCCTCATGGCAGGCCACTCATGTTCTGCACTCCATACCGCGTGTGATCAGATACTAACCACTTCAAGCGAGGGCCCTTCATGCATGATTAGATCGAGGGCCATTTCTTGGCTAGTCAGCCGTGTTTTCAAGTCGTGATTTAGGGCTTCAATTGCTTCATCGGAAGTGCGTCGAATGGACCTTTGAACGTGCAAGAGCCATGCGATAACGAAAACAATAATGGTAGACCGTGATAAAATTCAAGTTTGCAGAGTATTCTTCTTGTGACACAGTTTACATTCAAATTGCAGTTGATCAATGCTTCTAAGCGAAGCGGGAGATGGTGCATTGGTGGAAATGGCGTCATCTGGAGGGGTGCAGTTGCGTGATGAGCCTGTCAGTTGGCGAGATCGGGGAGATAAGCAGTTTTCATGTCCCCATTCGACCATGACTAGTGGGAAGAATCTAATTCCACTAAAGTACCGAGAATAGCACGTACTGTTAAACTTAAAAAGGTGAGGATTGCTATTTGTTGGTATTACAGACTGATTTGGTTCATTCGCTTCGATATCGGCAGAAAATATTTCTATAGGCGACATGCCCTACCGGCCAGTCACTCCTCATGAACCCATCCGAGGATTCTATTTGCCTTTTCAGCCGTGAAGAACGACTGATTTCCTTTGAGCTCGCGCCGAATCTCGGTATCGGGATAATACTTCTTCGCAAGCTCAATCGACCGCGTGTCCTGTGTCGTCGTCGGAGCAACAACATTAAAAATCTCGCACCCATTAAGTTTCTCAGCCTTCTCCACAGACAATAAGCAGGCTCTCGCAGTCGCATCCGGGCTCACCCATCCCCACAAGCTTTTGACGGCCGAGTCATCCCAATTCTCCTTGTGTCCTTTCTGTGCCTCCTCGCGGGACGCCACGGCATGGATACGCATACACGCGATTTTCATTCCGGGGAACCAGCGAGCAAATGTTCTCGCTTGGGTCTCAGCTTCTTGCTTGGCCAGTGCGTATGAATCTGTCGGATTGGGTGGTGCTTCTTCGTCCACGGGGAAATATTCGAATCTAAGCGGTTGCGTGGCATATTCCAGACCGATCGCATTCACTGACGACGCGTAGCAGAATCGTTTAATTCCTAGTTGCGCAGCGGCGTAGAAGCCATTGAATGCCGATGTAACATTGTTGTTGTGAACCAGCTGGTCGTCCTTCCCTATGGGGTCTGGTATGGCGGCAAGATGAATAACGGCGTCACAGCCTTTGAAGGCTTCCAGCGTGGCTTCGTAGTCATTGGCCGTGTCGGCGGTCTTCATCTCGGAATTGGGCGTTCCATCGTACTCGGTATCGGTTCGGTCAACCTGGACTGTGGAATGGCCGGCCTGAGAGGCTTCTTTGACAACAGCGCGTCCTACGGTGCCGCGGGCACCGGTGATAGCGATTTTCATATTAGCGGTTGGATTGAGGCTGGAGAAATTCCTGCGGTGGATTTGGCGGATCTGATATGGGATTTGCCGTGTGAGAAGTCGGGAGGGAGCTATGTGCACCAAAAAATTGGTCAATTGCAGAGGAGTTGACATATTTATCTAGGAATTTGATGATGCAGGGATATTCACATACTGGCGGACCTGATAAGATGGTGGTCTGAGTCCATGACGTGAATATGATGGTAGCGAGCAATTCTCATGGCGGTGGTTACTGCGAGGCCCATGACGCCAGAATGACAATCCTGGATCTCGGCATGGAGCTCACCCAGCCTACCATAATCTGTGTTCCATATTGAAAAAGCAGGTGTGCCTGGGGTAAACCATTCTAGGACGTCTGAAATGTTCGTGGATGATAATGATGTGGTGAATGCGGGAATCGAAGATGTGATGTCATTCCGAGGGGATCGTCTACATCGTTCTGAACCTGAGCCTAAGGCAACGACACCCGTGTCAGCCTTACCCGACGAATTTAGGTGTTGTCCCTCACCTATATACTCGGATCATTGCATAGTGGTCGTTCCAGCTACAGGGTCATTTTTCTACAGTGTCCTATTAGGGTTATCTTTATTTATGAGGAAGAAGAGGAAGAAGAAACGATAGAGTATGGTAAACGTTCCAAATTTTACAGTGGAACTGTTTTGTGTGATGTAATTCGGTATGTGCGAGATAGAGGTCCAGGTAGAATATCTCCTGTTAGCCTCCCTCTACAACACAGGTCATAGACAGAATCTGGGCTCACGAGCGAGCGATTCCATCATAGATAACAAAGAGTGTATAGTACATCAACAAAAGAAAGGTAGCGAACGAGTGGATAATATCCATTATATCCTTATAAGCCGAGGATATGTGACCGATGGGTGACTTGAGAATATTCCAAAAGAGCGTGGGATTTAGGCTTGGTGAATAACGGCAGAGTCTCAGGCCGCTTCTTAGCATCTTTACCATCAGAATTATGGCTTCGCGGCCGACCCGTTGGCTTGTGGCCCAGCTTGCTGAGCAGCCGCTGCATGCATTTGGGCGTTCTTCTTCTTCCTTCTGTGTGAGTTGGGCTTGTTCTTTTTTTTAGGCTGAGCGGGCTGCTCTGCCGGTGCCGCCTGATTTCCAGGCGCCGGCTTCGGGAGTGGTACTGACTTTAACTCTGGCTCCGTTTTGATCACGGGCTCGGGTTCTGTCTTTCGTTTGAGGTCCGGTGGAGGGAGGGGTTGCAATGGCGGCTGTGTCTGCGGCTGCGCCTCGGGCTTTTGCTCGGGCTTTTGCTCGGGCTTTGGCTCAGGTACGGGCTCTGGCTCTTGTTCCAGCACCGACTCGGGTCTTTGCTCTATCTCCAGCTCTGGCTTCTGCTCGGGCTCCTGCTTTGGCGGTTGCTCTGACTCAAGCTCCCGATCTGGCTTTTGATCTGTAATTGGCGGCTCCGTCTCTGGCCGAAAGCTTGGTTCTCGCTCTGGCTCTGGATCCGGATCTGCCCAGTCTACAGTCTCTCGCCTAATCAAAGGGGGCGAAGGAGCAAATGCCGGAAACTCCCTAGGGGGAGAATCACTGCAAGATGACGCCCAATTGTATCCATTCTGGGCCGGAGAGGCTAAGAAAGCCGTTGAAGGTGGGATCGGCGATTGGGGCCGTGAGTTCACAGCATTTACGACAGTTGGCGTGTCATCTGCGGAAAGCGGCTCATTGGAGTACCGTGGCGAGCTCTCATCCTTATCATCCGGAGATTCGGTAGTCGACTGCTTTTCTTCAGCAGGACCTTTCTCCTCCGAAGGGATTTCTGCATGGCCGTTGGTCTGGTGGTGTCCGTTCGGTGCGGTTTCCCGCAGCGAAGTCAATTTATCCGCGTAGATCTCCAAAGTCGTGTACATCAAGAATCGGTTGAAATCGTCATCAGAACCCAGGCCGTCGCGCACGACGCGGTACCTAAAGCTGAATTCATCCTTTTCGAAAGCAGCAGCGAGCTTGTCCCGGATGAAACTCTCGAACCATGAATCGTGGCCCGGAAGTTCCGAGTACACCTTGCTAACAGTCTTCAGAAGTTGTCGCGTTGACACTTCTTCACTGAAAGTCAGCATATACCGTTTAGCGTGTTCCTCGAGTCCGAAGATGCTGTAGCGCCTCGCAGCATGATAGGCATAAACGCTGCGCTCGAATTCGCGAGCCCAAGGGCAATTCTCCGGGCCAAGATCGGTGGGCTTGAGTGTTTCATAGCAGCCGGTGCTGAGAAAGTGAATGAACGTATGTCCGATATCTTCGTTGATGTCGCTGATATGGAGTTCCGATGAGTTGTGTGATAAGCTTGAATAAGGGCGCAGGTGGTATTCAGCGATCTTGAAGTGGGTTTGACCGATGACAACGGTGGCAATCGGTGTCGTGTAGCAGCTGGATAAGCCCCAAAGTCAGTAGATACATCAGGGAGCAATGCGCGATGATTTGATTGACCTTATCTCTGGCTGAGGGTATTCTGTTATCGGGATCTCCTGAACTTGTGCGTCGTTTTCCTGAGAGCGCAGGAGGTTGTAGTACAGCCGCTTGTAGTTCTTCTGGCCCATTGTGTCCATCAATTAGCCCAATGGCTGATGAGATGAGTCGATAAGCTGGTTGAGGTGGGAAGGTATGAGAATTGAGGAATGTTTGTGCTGCTGCGGCACGGATTGTCTTTTAAGAAAGGGATGAAAGGCAGGGCGGATGAGTGGATCTCTGAAGTCTCTCGAAGCCAACTCAGAGCCGCCTGGACTAGCGCCCAGAAACCACGTCAGTTGCATATGTAGATGCAAGGTTGTCTTTCATAACGTGTTTGGGAATGCACGAAAGTTGTGTGCATTTGATTGGGATGGCGGTGTTCCGGGTTGAAGTGGGTATGAGCTGGCAAGAACCCAGACCGCAATCGGGGAAACAGAAACACATCGGAGTGCTGTGCTGGACTGGCGATCAACCCATTGTGATGCTATTCTGAGGGCCCTGAGAGAAGATTATGATCTATAATGGGCTTCTAGTAGCCTCGTCAGATTTAGGAACCCGATTCGCCCATTTTCTCTCACAGACACTGTCGAATTGTGCCTTACGACAACCAAGCCTCGTCTTCGCCGGGCCGCCCAATGTCTCGGCGCCATGGTTACTCGGTGTCGTAGCTGCATGAAGAGCATTGCGAGTCCAGTGGTTGGAGCAAAGTCAATTGCACAGGATGCTGCATGGACAGGATGTGAGTTAGTATGAAACAGAGGAGTTCGAGGGAGATCATGCTAGAAATTCAGGCATCGGTGACGGGCGCCCGCAGTGGAGACGCGATCCACATGACAGCAACGTCCAAAAGTCGGTTGGTGCACGGGCGCATCTGCTGGAGTTTCTTGACTTTCTTTGCAACACCGCCACCGTTGTTTTCCCATCACTTTGAGCGTCTATCACTGTGAAGTTTCTAGTTAATTTTCGCCCGGGAAAGTTCCCTGATTTGTATTCATTCCTCACATTGTATCTGTATATTTTATCCCCTTCAACCACAACGACTAGTAATCTTGCTAATATGTCTAGAACTCAAGTCAAGTATGTCTACTCGCCTTTTACTTTGGATGTGCGATGCACCCAAACGTAGACAAACGGATAGACCGTTTCAGGCAGCAGTGTCCACAAAATAATCCCTGTACTCCACACCGACGCCACATATTCCCAGTTTTGTGGCACATTCCAATACCTCCAGAAGAAAACCCCGTAGGCTGTATAGCAGCCCAAGTATCGCATGAGCCTAGTATCCCCGTCAGCATCTCCCATAGCGGTGTAAAACGCAAGCAGGCAATTGCGAACCACATACCAGATTTCCAATGAATGACCCTTCGTATTCCACTCCTTCCACAGCGTCGCCAAACAGATCCAGCCGATCGGCATCTGTAGCAGAATTCCCGTCCAGTATGCTGTGACCTGCTCCCTTTCATCGGGCCACAGCATCGTCAATCCCTTCAGTACGCCCATTCCCGCAAGTACGAAGCCTACTATTCTCCGTACTAACCACGCCCGGTCGCGCTTTTCGTGTGCTCGCAAGATTGCGACTGCGACAAATCCTACGTCAAGTAGGAACCAAGCCAGGAATGCAAGGAGCTCAAAGGTGGTAGTTGTGGTCACTACCGCGTAGAAGAGTTCGTAGGCAAGTGTCAGACTCATGAATTGGATCCCCTTAGCTGACGCAGACGGGTATGTCCGGTCACTGTACGTGCGAATCATGCAAAATATGTAACAGAAGGCATAGAGAATCCCACAACTAATTATAAGGCCATCCTGAACGAACAAGTAGCTCTCAGGTGGGGAGAGAGCAGCGTCGGAAGGCTGTATTATCAGATGAGGAGTTTGACTGGCGAGGGTGAATGATGGCATTGTTTCCGGATGGTCTTTTCTTCCCGGTGTTATAGCATCGAAGCGAGAGATGTGTACAGAACCTGGTGCCTATATGGAGTATTATTGAGAGGTTAGGAGGGGTATCTCTGCGATAAGAATATATATAGCCTCGTCTTGACCGATCGGCTTGCCGCGGATACTTCTTCAGTAGATCGCAAATGCGGGTCACCCGGCTAGGAACCCTCGGGATGATGTCAGTGGTATGGGTACGGAAAAGGACTCTTCCAGTTGGATAGTTCAATATTAAGATGATTATAAAGCCTCTGTTTGCATCAGCGGAGGAAATTGACTAGGATCGTGGAAGACTAAATTCTTACCAAGGGTCTTGAGGAAATGGAGTCTTACCATAGACCTCTTATTCCTCTGCCTAACTAGCCTCTCTAACAGCTTCAACACTGTGGCTCATGATCCGGAACTAATTCCTGTTGCCTGGAATCAGCGTACTGCATTTCATCGATCAGGTTCATTTCTAATAATGTGTCAATCTGGATTTCTTCCATGGTGCGCATTGCTTCAATCTTTGAAGATGCATACTCACAATAGAAGTGACATAAAGGCAACCCCAAGTTCTGTTCCACTTTCATCGTAAGCTGTTGCAGACATCACACGAGCCCCTATCAGCTGGGTTCGTTGGTGGACCAATGCGACTGAACCTAAGTGATGGTTGTTGATGGTTGGAGTGGACACAAGAAGGCTGTGGTGTGGGTGTGGGGAAAGTGGAGGCCTGAGGTATACAAAGTAGAATCATATCATCTTTCCACCTTCTATCTTCGTGAAGCTTACCCCGTACACTTAAGAGTCCCACAAAATTGAACTTGCTGTTCATAAAAGTACCCGACTGAACTGTTTGCGTCTTATCCCATATTAATTTTGAATTTTCTTCAGTACTCCTCTTTCTTATAGTATGCTACTTGTTCCTCGCCGATTGAAGGCAGTGTCGGAAGAGACTACAATA